CGCAACACGACAAATCCACGACTGTAAACTGATGACTCGCTCTATTTATGACGTATTGACACAAAGTTCAAATGATCTGCAAAGGTCGTTTTGTCGTGTCCAGTGTAGACGGACTTTAGCTGTTGCGGCGCGACACGTCTGTGTGTGAGCAAAGAAAACGATCAGTATAAATATAACGATCAGTATACTAAACACCGCACATCCTGCTATGTGACTATCGCGGATGCGCACATCGCGATATCGATGCTGAAACGATATATCGTGCAGCTCTACTAGTTTTTACAGTGTTATAAATAATCACACACGGTTACGTTGATCTTATGAATGCAAGTGGCTTTCAAATGAGTCATTGCTGAAAAAGTGGATTTTTGTTGTTTAGCGCGTGGACTTTTTGGTTGGTATTCTGTCTCTATACGTTAAAATAAACCTACCATAAAAATTACAAACCCTTCATTTCTTTGCAAGTGGGCAAACTTACAAAATCAGCAAGGGATCAAATAAATATTTTCCCTACTGTACATATGTATGTTTTGATGTCTATTGTTTTGTGCATTATGCTGGGGTTAACTTCTACTGTTTTATTCACCGTAGACCTAATGGCACTGAATGAAACTGAAGAGAACGATCAGTACGAGAATCTTCACGATTTCAGAACTGGAGAAAAATCTCTTTGCGGCTCACAGTCTGAAAAGACTTCCACACCAGAAGAAGCTCAAAAGACAGGAAATACAAGTAATTTCACTTGCGTTGAGTGTGGAAAGGGTTTCCGATTTAAAGGAAGCCTTAAAAGGCACATGATGATTCACACTGGAGAGAAGCCTTTCACGTGCCTTCAGTGTGGAAAGAGGTTCAGTATACAGCAAAACCTTACTTACCACCTGAGAGTACACACTGGAGAGAGACCTTTCACCTGCAAACAGTGTGGATCAAGTTTCATTCAAAAAGTATGCCTTAACAGGCACATGAGAGTTCACACCGGAGAAAAACCATTTGCATGCCAACAGTGTGGAGAGCGTTTCACTCAACCTGGAAACCTTAAAATCCACATGAGACTTCACACCGGAGAGAAACCTTACACATGTCCTCAGTGTGGAAAGAGCTTTGAGCAAAATGGGAACCTCACAGTCCACATCAGAATTCACACTGGAGAAAAGCCTTACACATGCTCTCAGTGTGGCAAGAGTTTCGCTCAAAAAGGAGTTTGTAACCGGCACATGAGTTCACACTGGAGAGAATCCATTCACAAGCTCTCACTGTGGAAAGTGTATTGATCAACATGGAAACCTTAGCGTCCGCATGAAAACTCACACTGGAGAAAACCGATAATTCACACGCCTGCCAACAGTGCAGAAAACGTTTCAAGCAAGAAGCAAACCATAAAGAAACCACGTGAAGATTGACTCAAGAGGGAATGGTTTTAAATGTCAGCAGTGAGAATTTTACAGACGGGGAACATCTGGGAATCATGCAGAGAGAAGGCTTCTAAAAACAAAGCAAATCTTGAGTTTTACAAAAATAAGCTGGATTAGAGGTGGGCGATCTTCGCAAAATATCATTTGATTTTATCACACAAAATCACGATCTTCCCAATTTTGATACGTACTATCGAGAATATCCAAGCCTATGATTTATCTGTTTGAACAATTTAAAATATTATTGCATTAAACAACCAAAATGGTCACTGCATGAATTATTGCATGAATGGTCACGGAATGAATCAAATATATATTAATTCCTATTAAAGATATAAAGTAGTGTCAAGCGATTAATCGCATCCAAAATAAAAGTTTTTGTTTACATAATATATGTGTGTGTGTAATGTCTGTGTATATTTATTATGTATAAACACACACACACATGCAGTATATATTTTCAAAATATTTACATGTGTATATATTTATATTCATATAATTTATATTATATATAAATATATTTAATATATAAACAACTTACTTTTCTGAAATATATAAATGCATGTGTGAATTTATATATACATAAATATACACAGTACACACATTATGTAAACAAAAACTTATTTTGGATGCGATTAATCGGTTGACAGCACTAATATAAAGTGATTCAGTCAAGAGCATTCTTTTGTTGCTTGATTAACGTTAGGAAGACAGCCGCATTAGGCTTACAACCGGAATGCATGAATCTAACACACTGACATGCATCCCATTTCTTTCCCAATTTTTTATGTTCACTTAAAGGCACAATATATAAGTTTTCACTACTAGAGGGCACGTATTCAAAATAAACAAAGAGACAAAGGCGTAGTTTGATGACGCCCGTGACTGAGTGTGGAATCATGGGAGTTGTGGTCTTCATCCCCACAGCAGATGCAATCTGACGGGACTCGGGCAGAAATCATGTTCATGGATGAGCTAATGATTTATTAA